TCCAGTGCCCTTAACCACCACACCTGACCTGCCAGCCCCAAGAAATTTTACAGAAAAATTTTCAAATGGTAAGATATCCTTCTGGGGCCAGCCTATGATCTGGACATTAATAAGAGGGCTGGATCCCCCAAAACAACCTTGTAGTTAGAGTCCAGGACCAGCTGCTTGAAAAACATACTAGGTCCTTATGCATGCATGTCCAAAATTCCAAAAGGAAGGAAAAACAGAGGAGAAGAAATTGCAGCATGACTAAACCCTATGCAGGGCAAGGTGCTTTTCCCCTCTCCCTCTCTCTGTGCCTCTCTCTGGTGAGCACAAGTACCCTCTGGCAAATTAAAACAATAATAATATTCATCTGAAAATTAAAATACAAGAAACATATTAACGACTTTGAAAACCATAATGCTGGGACCAGCAGATGGCATAAAGGTTACGTAACAGAACTCCCAGGTAGTTGACTGAGGATCAACTCCTGGACACAGTGGCTTAAAACTTATACCGGGCACATGTGCATGCATGCCCCAAAATCTCAAGAGGAGACTGAAGAAGCAGGGATTGAGGTGTGGCCATCCTCCTAGGAGGTGGGGGGTTGATTTCTTGCTTTCTGTGTCTCTGTCTCTTGGGCATGTAAGTAACCCATAGGAAAAAAGATCTCAAAAAAAAAAAAAAAGAAAGAAAGAAAAAAGAAAAAAGAAAGCCATAATGTTAAAGCCTTCCAAAAATATTGTCACAAAATTTTTTTCTATTTTAACAAATAACTAACAGGACAGCAGGTATAATGTTAAGGCGCTGGACTCTCACATGGTCAACCACGGTTTTAGTCCTAGACCAGGCAGGTTGAAATTCACAGTAGACATGTGTGCATGCATGCCTAAAATCCCAAGAAAATAGAGAAAAAGGGGCTGAAGCACGGTCATCCCTCCTGGCAGCTTTCTGTCTCTCTGGCAAGAGCACATGCCCTATAGCAAAAATATCTCCAATAATAATAATAACATATAATTAATTTGCTTAATGACTACCTGAACAGCAAACATTACCTGGCCCACCTCTGAGTAGTTGCTTTCTCAGTGATACATAAAACTATTTTTAACCCTCAAATGAAGGAAAGTATTTCAATCACACATCTTTATTAGTGGAATGATCCTTTTAGCAATTATCGCTCACTTACAATCTAAATAAAAGCTACTTTAGGAGATGGCGCTTCTCTGCAGGCTGAGTGTCCTCTGCAGTGCCCAGGGTGGTCGAGCTCTATTCCTGTGAATCCCAGTGATCAGTCCAGCTCATGTCTCTGTATTTCTCCAGGACCAGCCTACCCCAAGATGGTGTAGAGCATAGGGAGTCCAGCACATTCACCTGTCACCAAACCACCACTCTGGTTCCAAGGCTGCATCTCTCCACTGGACTGGTGAGAGAGTTGTCAGTGTTTTGCTCCTGGGCCTGCTTCTAGCTGCTTATCTGAATCCTTGCTCAGCGATGGACTACTCCCTGGCTGCAGCTCTCACTCTCCATAGTCACTGGGGCCTTGGACAAGTTGTTACTATGTTCATGGGGATGCATCACAGAAAGCTGCCAAAGCAGGCCTTTTGGCACTCTCAGCTTTAACCTTTGCCGGGCTTTGTTCTTTCAACTGTCATGCGCAGGCATCTGCAAAGCTGTTACCATGCTGTGGAAGCTCTGACTTTTTTGATGTAATACCTTAAGAATTGATCGTATGCCTCTTTGCCTTGCTCTGTCATGCTATTCAGCTCACAATAAGGAGGAAACAATAGATAAGTTCATTGGTGGACAGGTCTCCTAATCATATGGTTATTTTCAGAATTCAGTTATTGAAGAAAAGGTTTGAAAGGTATCCAGAAATTGTAAGACCGAGTTCTGTATTCTGGTGAGTTAGTGGGGTTGTCTCCACACTTCTCATAAGACTCACAGTATAATTAAACATTGTATAAGAGCTTTTGCTATTTAATTTATCAATCTCTTGAAGAGAATTCAGCTTTATTACTATCAATACATGATCAAAGTTCTACATTTGTCCTGGGAATAGTGGACAAAGTGCGAGAGTGGGAATAGTGGACAAAGGGAAAGACTATGACGTCATGAGTAGACTATTAGAAATTAGACAGGTGTTTAATTTTTGAAAACTCCTTCTCCTCTGTTATACCAGCTACTGATAGTTACATATCCTACAGAAACTTTAAAATGAGGGAATACTAATACCACATATGAAGAACTTTCCATGCTAGGAAGAAAATCTTAAGAGAGCTTCTGAATACAGAAAAGTCCATTTAGGGAAGAAGTCCACCTTGTGGATGTGTCAAAATGTTACAAATTCTGAATCAAGATGTAATGTTTAAATACATTATATTTGTCCTAAAATTATCTGCCCACAAATGTAAAATTATAAGAAATGAATAGTTATTTTCCCACTATGGGAATTTCTAATGTGAAAGTGTATTCTAAAAAAAAAAGTTTCTTAAAAAAATAAAATATTATATAATAAAAAAAAAAGCAACTTCATTGGAATTATTTCAAAGCAAAGGGAGAAAGCACATAGAAATCTTTTTATTATTTTTTTTAAATTTGTTACAGAGTGTGTGAGCTTGCCAGAGACAAAGAGAGGGAGAAAGGAAGTACCACCTAGGGGATAGCTGGCCTATAGCACAGCAGGTAATCACCATGCATTGGGAGCTGGACCCCAAATGGCCACCTGAGGTTCAAATCCCAGCTCCAGTGGCTGAAACTGAAAAATATCATGGGCTCAAGTATGTGCATGCTCAAGATCCTGACAGGAGAGTACGACCCAGGGGAGATGGCCATGCTGCAATCCCTTCCCCTCCATCCTCCTCTCAGGATTTTGGGCATGCATACACACATGCCTGGTGTTTTTCAAGTCACCAGGTCTGGGACTTGAATCATGCAGCTGGCCACGTGGGATCCAGCTGCTTTAATCACAGTGCCACAGCTGGCCAAAGCTAGTTTTATACAGTAGTAATCTGATATAAAAATGGGAAAAAGATATTAATAAATAGTAAATCTACCAAAAAATTAAAATCTTCAATCATTTTAAGAATATGCCTAATCTCACTAATAAAAAAATGGAATAATAACATGTGATATTTGCCTACAAAATTTATAATTTTTGAAAAAATAATATATTTATAAGTAGACTAGGAAATGGACACTCAAATATTCCTGGTAGAAATTCAAATTGATACAATCTTCCTGGTGGTCATTTCGGTAATGTGTGCATGTGTGGGTTTTTAAAATTATTTATTTATTTATTTTTAAAGATTTTTTGCTATGGGGTGCATGTGCTTGCTGGAGAGACAGACAGAGAGACAGAACATGAGAAATGACTCCACAGGGGGGATGGCCACGCTGCAATCCCTTCTCCTCCATTCTCCTGTCAGGATTTTGGGCACTCACATATGTGTGCCCGGCATAAGTCTTGAGCTGCTGAATCTGGGACTTGAACAGTGGTTGACTACGTGTAAGTCCAGCAACGTAAGCATTGCACCATCTGCTGGTCCCTATTTATTTTATTTTATTTTATTTTATTTTTATTTTCTATTTACTACCAGGCACAGTGCCCCCAGAGACAGACAGAAACAGAGACAGAGAGCGGGAGAACAGTGAGAAAGCAAGCCGCCAGGTCTGGGACTAGAACTGCAGTCAGTCATGTGAGAGTCTAGCACCTTAACCACCACACCACCTGCTGGCCCCGGCAATGTGTTTTAAAAATAATGTAATGTGCATTATGCTTTGAATCTACATTCTACTTCTAAAAATTATTCTTTTTTAAATTTTATTTTATATTTTCTAGAAGGCATATGTGCTGGCAAGAGACAGTGTGAGGAAAAGCAAGAAAGCATTCCAGTGGGGCATGGTCACAATACCATTCTTTCTCCTCCATTTCTCTATCTTTTCAGGATTGGGGGCATGTACACACACACCTGGCATGTTTTTGAAGCTTCAGGTAGGTCTGGGACTTGAACAGCACCATCGGTCATGTGCTATGTAGTACCTTAACCTTTAGGCAGTAAGTCTAGCCCTTCTAAAAACTTATTCTAAGAAAATAATGATGAATGAGAGTAAAGATAAGTTATAGTATATTATATAACTTTTAAAGATAAAAGCTTAAAATAACCTAGATAACAGGAATTTGATAACTAAAGTACAAGTCATACAATCAACTTAATTATACAATATTGAAATACAACCCTAGAAATAAATATCAAAATAATAGAATACTACGCATTTGTTAAAAATGAGATAATCCTATATATATATTGACATTGAATAATCTATATTATATATTGCTAACTAAAAACAAGCATAGAGCCAGCAGGTGGCCTGGTGGTTTAGGCACAGGATCCCATATGGTCAATTGTGTGGTTCGAAGCAGCCTGCAAAGCCATGCCCTGCCCATGTATGCGTATGCCCAAAATCTCAAGAGAATGGAAGAGAAGGCACTGGCACATGGACACATGGCTATCCCCCTCGGGGAGTGGTTTCTCGTTCTTCCTCTTCCTCTGTCTCTCTCTGGTGAGCACACACACCCTATAACAACAAATATAATACTAATAGGAGCTTCCACGATTCGAGTCCCAGAACTGGTAGCTTGCTTTCTCACTTTCTCTCTCTCTCTTTCTCTCTCTCTGTGTGTGTGTGTGTGTCTGATCAATTTAAAATAAATGAATAACTAAAATTAAATTTTAAAAAATTCTAAAATAAATAAACAAAAATATTAATAGGAGCTAAAAAAACAAACAAACAAAAAAAACCCTTAGGGTTAAAAATATGAACTTGACCTTCAAAAGGATCATTCTGACAATTGTATATTTCATTTATTGCCAAAGAAGCTCACAATATCATAATGTTCTCTATTTTAATAAACTACATTTTTACTAAGTATAATTCCTCAAAAGAGATTTTACCATTCCCATATTAGATATATACAAAATGTAACCATCGTTCTGACACGACTCAAATGCTGAAATTACCTTTATGTTTATTTAGAAGCTTGTAGCCCTCACAGTATCTTCCTGATGAAGTCATCATCTTGGCTGTGTCAAGATAAGAGTAAGCTGCAGCAAAATCAAACTCCTTTTTACCATCCCACCAACCTTTCTGCTTAGCATAGTTTCTCATGTCTGGGTGTTCCCGATCAATCTTCGTTGTTATAGAAAGCTGATTAGAAATATTACGAACACCATCTATTTTCAAAGAGTAAGAGGGGAACAGAGAAGAAAAATCTTATTTCACATAAAGGATCTCTCTGTACATTATAATTCTTAATTACTAAATGTATACACAGGCTTAGTCTAAGAAGATGTATCATGTGCAAAACTGTAGTATAATACCACAACTAGATGCTGGTATTGATATAGTCAAGATACAGAATATCTCCATCAGCACGAAGACCCCTCATGTTTCTCTCATAGCTGCACCTACTTATCTCCCACCTTTAACCCCTCACTAGCCCCCAGCCACCACCAGTTTGTTCTCCATTTCTGCAACTGCCATTAAAGAATGTTATATAAATGAAATCATATAGTACATAAACTTCTGGCTTTTTAAAACTTTTTTGTACTGTTTTACTATAGGGCAGGTGTGCTTGCTGGAGACGGGCAGAGAGAGAGAAAGTGAGAAATCGCCCCTCAGGAGGATGGTCAGGCTGCAATCCTTTCTCCTCTGTTCTCCTCTCAGGATCTGGGGTATGCACGCACATGCGCCTGGCATGTTTTTTTAGGCTGCTGGGCCCAGGACACAGACTGCACAGTTAGCCGTGTGTGATCCGGCCAACTTAACCACCGCACCACATGGATGGCCCACTTTGGGCTTTATTTACTCAGCATAATCCTCTGAAGATTTATCTTGGTTATTGTATATATCAGTAGTCCATTCCTTTTATTGCTGAATGGTATTGCATGGCATGGATGTACTACTGTTTGTTAATCATTAACAAATTAAAAGACTTTTGAGTTGTTTCCAATTTTTAACTATCATGGAAAAAAGCTATTATAAATACTTGTATACAGCTTTTTTAAAAAAACTATTTTCCAGAGTAGCTGCCTGTATAGGGTATGGATTTCAAAACTGTTTTGCACCAATCTAAACACATATTTGAATTCCACTTTTTCCATGAACTTTTTAAAAAATAATTATTTACTTAATTTTATTATTATTATTGTTATTATTGCTATTATTTTCAATTTGACCAGAGAGAGAGAGAGAAAGGAAAAAGAAAGTGAGAATGCAAGCCTCCACGTCTAGGACTTGAACTGTAGTCGGTCATGTAGGAGTACAGCACCATTAAAAACCATGGCACCTGCCGACCCCTTTGCATGAACTTTTAAAAGTACCTTCATACATTCTTCTTAACAATGTATGACTGATCCAGTCTCCACATTCCCACCAGCATTTGGTGATGTGATTACTCTAGTCATTCAGATAGTGATATCTCACTGTGCTTTTTTACTCTGTGTTTTCCTAATGGCTAGTGATACTAAACATCTTTTCAAGTGCTTATTTGACATCTGTATCTCCCTTTAATGATATATATAACCCTGAAATGGTTCTTCATATCTTTCACCCATTTTCTAACTGAATATTTTTAATGTTGAGTTTTAGCTGTTTTTCATATATTTTAGATACTAGTCTTTTCTATGAGTTACTTTCTAAAAATAAGTCTAGAATAGAAATATAAGCTTTCCAAGAATTGTGGCACTAAGATATAAGTAAAGCTTTCAACTAAAAATATAAAATAGAAAAAAATAAAAATTGAAAAAAAAAAAAAAAAAACCAGAAAAAAACCACACGCCTGTTCTAAAGAGATCAGAATAGGGTCAACCTGTGGCCTGGTGGTTAAGGGAGCCGGATCTCACATTGCCAACTGTGCAGTTTGAATCTTGGACGTGGTGGCTTGAAAAACACACCAGGTGCATGTGTATGTGTACTCAAAATCCCAACAGGGTAGAGAAATGAAGCAGAAGGGATTGTAGCATGAACATCCACTGAGTGTGCTTTCTCCCTCCCCCTCACTCTCTCTGTCTCTCTCATAACTGCACATGTCCTCTGACAATTTTTTTTTATTCTTTTTGTTTTGATAGTTTGTTGTTTTTTTTTTGCCTTAGGGCACATGCGCTCACCAGAGAAACAGAGACAGAGAGACAGAAAGCAAGAAATCACCCCCAGGGCGGGGATGGTCATGCCGCAATCCCTTCTCCTCCATTCTCCTCTCAGGATCTTTGGCACGCACACACATGCACTCGGGGTGAGTTTAAGTTACCGGTCCAGGACTCAAATCGCAGTCAACTGCATGGGAGTCCAGCAACATAGCCATTATACTAACTGCCGGCCCCCCTCTGACAAATTCTAAAAAAGAAAAGAGATCATAATAGATTAAACAGATTATGATAAATGGAAATTGATGATCTTTTTAAAACCAATTAAAATGATAGTCTGCCAAGTACAAATTAGTTAAATTACTCCGTCATACTTGGGATAGTCTCACTACAAAACCAACTTGAGTCCTGGAAGAATTGAAGTCAAAAGAAAAGAATTTTCCATCTAATAAGTGATTCTCTACAGTTTAACAATTTTGTTCTTGGTTCTTTTATTTTTTCAAAGAGAGATTTTTGTTTTAGGGTGCACGCACTTGCTGGAGAGACAGAGAAAGACAAAGAGACAAAAAGTAAGAAATCATCCCTCAGGGAAGGATGGCCAAGTCACAATCCCTTCTCCTCCATTTTCCTCTTGGCATGACTCTTAAGCCACTGGGTACAGACTTGAACCACGGTCAACTACGAGGGAGCCCAGTGACATAACCATTAAGCCATTTGCTGGTCCCATTCTTGGGTTCATTTAGAAATAGGAAATTGACAAAATTAATCTACATCTGGATAACCAGGCCCAATAAACATATTCATTTTGTAAGGCAAAGTGAGACATTTTCAACAGACTGTATTTATTCACTTCTCTGTTGCATGTAGCACATTTAATAAAATTGAAAGTGTTCAACGCGGGGCAGTAGGTGGCGTGGTAGTTAAGGGTACTAGACTCCCACATGGCTGGCCATGGTTTGAGTCCCGGACCTGAGGCTCGCTTTCTCACTTTCCCTCTTTTTCTCTCTCTCTCCCCCTAGCTCTGTCCTCCTCTGGTCAAATTAAAAAATAAGTAAGTATATAAATAAAGTTAAGGGGCCAGCAGGTGGCATGGTAGTGAAAGGCGCTGGGTTCCCACACTAGCAACCACGGTTCAAGTCCTGAACCTGGTGGCTTGCCTTCTCACTTTCCCTCTATCTCTCTCTGTCTGTGTGATCAAACTGGAAAATAATAATAATCTTAAATTTAAAAAATAAAGTTAAATAAAATAATTATTTAAGAAAAGTGTTCAATAGTACAATAGTCCAAGTTACCACAGTAAGAAAAATAGCCTTAAGTTCTATTTTATGCTATTTTTTTTTTTTGAGAGAGAGATTTATGCTATAGGGTGTATGCACTTGCTGTAGAGACAGAAAACAAGAAACCACCCCTTAGGAGGGATTGCCATGCCACAATCCATTCTCCTCCAGTCTCCTCTTGGGATTTTGGGAACACATGCATACATGACCAGTATGAGTTTTAAATCACCGAGTCCGGGACTTGAACCTTGGCTGGCTACATGGGAGTCCAGCAACATAACTATTCTGCCCTCTGCTGGTCCCTCTATTTCACATTTTAATAAACATGCATGCCAAACATAAACTAAAATGCCCATCAAAACAACCGAGGGCCAGCTGGTGGTGTGGCTGTTTAGGCAGCTATATGACCGGCTGACTGCATTGACTGAGTCCTGGACCTAGTGGCTTAGAAACACACCAGGCATGTATACCTTCACTCCCAAAATCCCAAAAGGAAAATGGACCAGGGATTACAGCATGACTATCCTTATGAGAAGTGTTTTCTCACATTCTGTCTCTCTGTCTCTCTCTCTGGTAAGCGCATGCACCCTCTAGTAAATTAAAAAAACAAAACTGTAAATGACCTATTTTAGAAAATAACATCCAAATCCTTCAAAACATGAGGTTATCTTCAAGAGCTGTCAGCTCACAATGACCTTTCCTTTCTCAAAATTTTCACAGCATCTATGCTTCTGTATGATTCATACATCATTTAATATTTCCACATGTGTATCTTATCTCCCTAGTAAAACTAGGAGTCTAGGAGGTAGATACACAGAGGCATATGACTATGCTTGAAAGCAAGGCTATGCTCCAGTGAAAGAACCTGGGTAAGAATGAGGAGGAGTGGGGCCAGCAGACAGCGTAGTGGTTACATTGCTGGACTCCCACATGATTGATCATGGTTCGACGCAGTGGCTTGAAAATCACACAGGGTACATGTGCATGAGTGCCTAAGATCCCATGAGGAGAATGAAAAAGGGACTGTGGGATTGTGGCGTGACTATCCCCCCAGGGGGTAATTTCTCACTTTCCTTCTCACTATCTCTGTCTCTCTCTAGGGAGTGCATGCACCCTACAGCAAAATCCTCTATTTAAAAAAAGAATCAGGAGGGAAAGACTTAAGTTCCAAGTTTTTTTTTCCCCCAAAGAATTATTTTACTTAACTTTAATATTTATTTATTTATTTATTTATTTTAATTTGACCAGAGAGTAACAGAGAGAGAGAGAGAAGGAAAGTGAGAAAGCAAGCCCCCAGGCCCACTACTCACACCATGACTGGTCATGTGGGAGTCCAACGCCCTTAACCACCTTGCAACCTGTCAGCCCCTAAATTCCAAGTCTTTTTATCTTTACCTTAAGTCACTTTTACATCTCTGGTTTCCTCCCTTGAAAAATCAATAGAATAGGGACCAGCAGTTAGCATAATGGCTATGTTGCTGGACTCCCACGTAGTTGACCACGGTTCGCGTCCCGGACCCGGTGGCTTAAACTCACACCGGGCGCGTGTGCGTGCGTGCCCAAGATCCCGAGAGGAGAATGGAGGAGAAGGGATTGTGGCGTGGCCATCCCCCCTGGGGGTGATTTCTCGCTTTCTGTCTCTCTGTCTCTCTCTGTCTGTCTGGCATGCACATGCACCCTATAGCAAAAACCTCTAAAAAAAAAAATCAACAGAATATATGAATACAAAAAAAAACCAGGGAAAAGTAAAAGCAGCACATTCTACAATAATAAAAATGTGTTGTTTTACCCAATGATGTAAAATCTTTATGTTTTACTATTATATCCCTTCTAACTACCAACCCACATCGCCCATCCCCAATCCATACCCTTTTGCTCACCTCCATACTTACACATGAGAAAATTTTAGAATTCAACCCAAAGTTAAAAGAGGAAGAAACAGTAATGGATTATTATTTTTTTAAGAATTATTTATGTATTACAACATTTGTTATTATATTTTTTAATTTGACCAGACAGAGACAGAGTGAAAGTGAAAGTGAGAAAGCAAGTCACCAGGTTCAGGACTTGAACCCCGGTCAGTCATGTGGGAATCCAGCACCTTTAACCACCATGTCACCCACCAGCCCCCCAGTAAGGGATTATTAAAAAGCAAAAGAATACTATAAAAGACATGAGCTGTTGCACACAAAGTATATTAGGTTATATTAAACTCATATTCCCAGAGATTTTGCTACCTTTTTGTCTTTTTCAAGAAAGTTCTTAGAGGGCCAGCAGATGGTATGGTAGATGAGGTACTAGATTCCCACATGGCTGACCACAGTTCAAGTCCCGGGCCTGGTCACTTGCTTTCTCTTTCTCTTTCTCTCTGCCTGTCTCTGGCAAGTATGTGTGCCCCTATAACAAACTTAAAATAATAATAAAATAAAAAATAAATTATTTTAACGTTAAAAAAAAAAAAAAAAGAAAGCTCTTAGGGCCAGCAAATGGCGTGGTGGTTAAGGTGCTGGATCCCACATGATCAACTCTCCAGTTCAAGTCCTGGACCTGGTAGCCTTAAAACATACCAGGCACATATAAGAGTGTGCCCCAAATCCTGAGAGAATGGAGGAGAAGGGATTATGGAGGAGCCATCCCTGGTGGGGTGATTTCTCACTTGCCCTCTCACTCTATCTTTCTCTGCCTCTCTCCAGTGAGCACATGCACCCTATAGCACAGAAGAAAAATGAAGTGCTTCACAGTGCTCTTTCACTGTTCTTTCTAGCTTTTAAATTTTCCTTACAGATTAGTCTTCCTTTGTACTGGATTATAAACCTTGAAAGACAATTAAATGCAGTATCTACAGTTGGGGCATATTTTATTAATTGTGAAACAAGTTAAATCACAAAACGTTCTCCATACCTTGTACTTTTTCTGCTGCCCAGTACTTCCCTGCAGTCTCCAGAACCCAGGCTTCCTGCCTGTCAGCTATCAGGAAACTATTGTGATAGCTAAATAGCATTTCACCCTCTGTACAGTTTCCACCTTGACCATATTTTTCTAGTAAATCAACAATGACATCAAGCGCTTTTTCAGCTGTATCAGCTCTTTCAAGACCAAGCCTAAAATAAAAATATTAAAATTCTGATTAAAATGAATTTCCATTACTCTTCTTAAATGATTTCATGTTCGTGAGATTTTGTGTTTACATTTAAAGTAAAAATTATTTCAAGTTAACTGATAAAATGAAATCTTACTTAAACTTATCTTTCCTAAGTCAGTTTGGAGTCATAAAAACAAAGTCACTGGAATTAAATGAATCCATGTTCAAATTTCAACTTGGTAATTTACTAGCAAGTTACTTTGTCTCTGAGCCTCAAATACTACACTTATGAAATAATGATAATAATATATATATCCCAGGAGGTTATTGTGAGAATTAGTTAAGGTGTGATAAAGTACATTAGATACTTCCAATGAATCATAATTTCTAACTCCTTCCTTTTTCTCAATTTCTAATATTTCTTTTTTTTTTTTTTTTGGGGGGGTTTTACCCAAAGGGCCCGGGGGCCCGCCAGCAAGACAGAG